CTTGGGCATGCACACACACGCGCCCAGTGTGAGTTTCCAAACCGGTCAGCGGTGTGGGAGTCCAGATGTAGACGCCCTCTGCTGGCGCTGGGGCGAGCTAGTTTAAAGGAAAGCATCCATAGAAGGGAAGACTACAAAGCCAAGGAAGTGCGTAGATGACAACCTCCAGTGGTTGCCTGGGGAGGGAGGGGGCAGCAGCACAGTCCTTTGCCCACGGAGTCAAACAACAAAGCTAGGATTCAGGGCTCAGCGGCAAGTAGCGGTGAGGGTAAAGAGTCCCGAAGAAGCGCCGCGCACCATTTCCGGCCCACATGGGCAGAAGGTAAGCGTTCGAACAAGGAAAGGAACGAGGGCCTGAGTTCCAGTGTAGTAGTGAGTCAGCCTTGGGGCTCAGACATTTTCGGTCCGTCGCGGTGACCACCATGAAGACGAAGGGTGAAACGTTTGCATGTTGGATTATAGACATGAGGCTTCGCCTGAAGATTTGGATCCCTGACATAAATACACTCTTGAATTCTTGTTTTGATTAGTATAATAAACGGAAGATCTGAGCTGTGCTGTTTGGTTTATAAAGCAAAGAATGTTGAGTGGCCCCACCTTTGGGAATCTGCCTTTTGGCCCTGAGCGAGTGGCCCACCGGTGTGTGAAATGATGGGGGGTGGAGAAAATACCTCCTCCTCTTATCCAGCCGTAGCACTGCCTGTGTAGTTCTGTGTGGTGTCCATTCCGCCATCCACCTCCCCGCCCCGAGACTCCAGTGAGCTACAGGGAGTGACAGGCCTCAAGATGCTGGTGTGTGTGTGTGTGGGGGGGTGTTTCAGAGCTCAGAACAGTACCCAAGAGAGGGCCAGGGGCCGGGACTGTAATGCTGTTTCTCTAAGGCAGGTTTTGGCATGACCAGCCAGAGGTCCCTGTGTTCTTAAACCCGCTGAGCATCCCCATTCGGTAAGGCTGGCAAAGAGCTCTCAGAACTTAAGTGAACTCTTGCAAGAAACGCGTACTATTGCTATAGCAACCCAGATAGCCACCAATCGGGGACTGGTTAAACAACCTGCTGTGTCTACTTGGAGTACTCGGGTCAAAAGAAAAAAGGCCAGCACTTAACAGCTGTGTTTTGATATAAACTGATCTTTAAAACACATCATTAAGTGGAAGATAGGGAAGATCTGAGCAGTTTATAGCTGCTTACACTTGGGGAGAAGAATGGGGAGAAGGAGCTTTGTAAAGGCATCTCTGCACGTGGAGATCCCTGGGTGCATACGAAGACTTGGCACTTGGCCCCGGGGGAGCCCGAGTAGAGACTGCGTGTGTACATGTGACCACGGGAGGGTTCTCAGGCTCTGAACCGAGAGGCCAGAGGTGGGATCTACAAGGCCTCAGCAGAGAGGGCAGTTTCTCCTGCACTGCCCCCTCTCAGCCCCATGGAAGGAAGCTCGCTCGAGGCTGCGGGGGCTAGTCTTGACTCCACCCCCACCCCCACCCCAGC